CCCCCAAAACCTCACAGGAACCTTATTCTACCCCATGCAACTTGATGAGCTGACCTTCCTCCACACCATGTCCTGTGAGAGTGCTGCCGCACACAAAACACAGCAGCACCACCCCTTCAGGGAGAGCTCCAGGGGGAGAGTAGAGGAGCGAGTGGGAGAAGCAGCAAACCAGAGGCCTAGCTCTACCAGAAACAGAGCTCTAGCTCTACCACCAACTGCATGAATTTAAACAACCACTACCAATGAAGACCTCAGTTTTCCCAAATTACAATAAAGGGGTGAATAGATTGAAGGATTTGAGGCTAGGATTCAGGGATCCCCTGAATTTGCACTGTTGTTTGTAAGTGTGCTTTTCTGGTAACAGGCTTCATCACAACCTCAAAGGGGTCTAAGAGCCCGAAAAGTTGAGAGAGAGCCATAGAGGGTGCCAGTGGCCAAGTTTACATGTGGCTCAAGTGTTCTAAGCCTCCCCAAGCCACCAGGTGGGATAGCTGCTCAGAGTCCTGGCTTTGTCCCCTGAAGATGTACCTTGGAGTGCCCTCCCGAATGCCCACATGTTGCCTTTACAGGACTGCTGTGTCACCTTTCTCTGTAACTGATACCAGCATACTCTTCCTTTTAGTATAGTTTAGGCAGGCTCCTTGTATTACAATAAATCTTATTGAAAATGAATAAAATGAAAATAACATTAAGTTGGTCAGGTTCTCAAAAATCCTACCAATTCCACTCAAAGTAGCAAAGCTGCTTATTTGGAGTCCAAATTACCTGTTCCTAGAGTTACTGCTATCTTCACAGATGGGCCAACATCTTCATAGACACTAATTTTGATCATTTCCCATCAAACTACCTTTGTCCCCAAACCAGCCTCTAATTCCCATCATCATAGGCTCCAGGTGCCATGTTGCCTCTGGGCACCTAGACACTAAACTCCCTAAACATCTTGGCTCATTCAAGGACAAACACCTTCTTTAAAACTAAGACTTTCACCTGGGTACAGTGGTGCATGCCTGTAATCCCAGCTACTTGAGACTATGGGGTGGAAGGATAGCTTGAGCCCAAGAGGTCAAGACCAGCCTGAGCAATATAGCAAGACCCGTCTCTAAAAATTAAAAAAAAAAAAAAAAATGAAGACTCTTCATTTTCTGATCAAATGCCAATTATAGTGACTCAAGCCTCTTAGGTGCTCAAATAATAGACATTGAATTGGTAAGTAAGTGAACTAATGAATCAATTAGTAAATTAGCGAAGTAAATGAATGAAAGTTTCACTTCTATTACTCCCTCAACTCCCATTTCTCCTAAGCTAGAGACCTCTGGCTCAATTCCCATATAAGCTCAGTGATTTGCAAGTCATTTCTGACCCCTCTGAGCCAGTGAATGGCTGAGCCCTCCTGTGTCTGGTACAGATCAATCCACCACTGAACCCTTCTTGAACAATAGACTGATGTCTTTCCTCTGTAATAGAAAATTTAAATATTTCTTCCACCTGGTTTTCTCTCACTCTTCTTTCTCCTGAGACTTCAATTAAATATATGCTAGGCTTTCTCATTTTGTCCTCCTTGTCTTTTACTCTCTTTTCTGTATTTTCCATCTATTTTTCTCTCAGTGCTACACTCTGAACAGTTTCTTCTGACCTTAATTCCAATTCAGTAATTTTCCCTTTAGCTGTGTCTAATCTGTTTTAAAACTCACCCATCAAGTTCTTAATTTTGGCTATTGCATTTTAGTTCTAGAATTCCTTTTTTAAAAATTTGTTATGTATTTAATAGTTTTCAGTTCCGTGCTGAAGTTTTCAAGCTGGTGTTTTTTATTTCTTTGAACATAGTAAGCATAGTTATTTTATAGTCTATGTCTAATAATTCCAATATCTGAAGCCTGCATGACTCTGTTTCTATTGTCTATTGTTTCTACTGGTACTTGGTCATAGTGTCTTGTTCCCTTATGTGTTGGTCATCTTAGAATGTGTGTATGACATTCACCTCACCCCAGCTACTGTGTCTCTAATCTCCTCAGAGAACTTTGAGGGTGGAGGACATAAATTCAAGGGGCTGCTATTCCTGTCAGAATGCCATTTCACATTGTTGTTCAAAGTTCATTTGGAAAACTACTCAAAGAGGTCTGAAATTGGGACCCACTCTTGTCAATACCTGCCTCACTCTTGGAAAGTACTGAAGTGTGCTTGAGGGTTGTGGGGGCAGTGGGGATGGGGGAGTGATAAGGGAAGAGACTTCTGGGAGACTTCTTCCCACTTCATCACAAACACCAAACCATGGTCCTGCCCAAAGGCATCAGCATCACCTCCTGAGCAACCACAGAAGAGGAGACTTTCAACCAAGCTTGCCTGGACAAGGCAGAGATGAAATCAGGCTTCAGAGGTTGCAAAACTGTCACCTGGCAGAGCAGCATTCAGTCTGTTAATGTATTTTATTCAAGTATTCATTTGCTGTTTTAAAGTACTGCTCAGAACCAGCAGATTTAGACCAACTTTTAAAAATCAGGAAATTTAGCTTCTCTTGAAAGATCAGAGGTTCTGATAACACTGAGCCCTGATACCAGGAGGTAACAATTGGCTGGAGTTGGGAAGCAGCCATCCCTGAGAAGCAAGTGCTCTTCAGGAGCTGCATTTACCACCACTCAGGCAACAAACGAATTTGCACTTATTCTGCCCACTTCACTTAATTACTGCCTGACCCTGTAAGAATTTAATTTTTCAGTCCTTGACCTAGAGAAAAGACAGTGTGTAATTCCGATCCCTAGGAGTTTCCAAGACAGACAGCACACAGTCAGTAGAGCAAGAGATCAGAGAGGCAGGGGACCTGTCGGAGGCTCCTGTTGACCCTGGAGGAATGTGCCACAGGGTCCGCCCTGCCCCTCCCCAGGTTCCTGGCAAGGCCTCCCTGCCTAGGCCAGGTGACTGTGTCTAATGCAACCTGGCCATTTCCTGTCAGACCAACCTCAGGCAAATCATTTAACATCTCTAAGCCTCTATTTGCTCATCCGTAAAATGAGAATGGTCATAGTTCCAGATCCATAGGATTGTTGTGAAGTTAAATGAAGTAATGGATGAAAAAGCCCTAGCGTAACATCCCGTAGATAGCAGGGGTGTCTGCTGCTTCTCCCTGTCCTGTCTACTCTCACCCTCCCTGGGTGCCCTTAGTACCAGAGACTGCAAGGGCCAGAGTCACCATCATACTCTGAAGAACAGATGATGAAACCAAGGCCCAGAGAGAGGGAGTTTCCCCTAGTTGCTGCAGTGTGAGCATCCACCCTTGGTCCAATGACACAAATCTGTCCAGGCCAACTTAGGCTCAAAGAAGGGACCAATCATAGCCAGGACTGAGGTGAGGTAGGAGGGAAGGCTTCCTGGAGGTGGCAAACTCTAAGCAGGATTTGAAAGGAAATGTGGAATTCAGATTGGCAAGGAAAGGGGTTTTCTTGTATGCTGCTCCCCATAACCCACACTTTGAGACCCCAAAACTGAAAGCATTTTACTGTCTTTGAGCTCCAAACAATAGTCCCTAACCCCATCCTTACCCAACTGCCCTGTCCCAACAAATGGACTCAAAATACCCTTACCTGCCCTGCTAGTTCTAATTAGAACTAGGAGACAGACAGACAGACAGACACACACACACACACACACACAGAGAGAGAGAGATGTTTGTCTTCTCCTCTTGTGGGGTCCTTACACCACCAGCTCATTTTTACCGTGGAGAATCCTCAAACTGATACAAACTCAAGACATTCCATATCAGAATTAAGTTTTCTCTAAGGCAGTGATCAAAGCGATCTTATTTACCAAGGAAATTAAGAAGGCTCCAGGAGGAATTGCCGTCTAGAACCAAACTCATCAAACTCAGGTGCTTTCCTTTGTTTTTTTCTAATGAGTTTTAAGCTGGGCTCCCCTTGGGACACGAGTAAAGCCTGCCGCTTCCTGAAGTTCCTTCCTTCCCACTTCCTACCACTCCTCGGCCAGGCTCTCAGGACCCTGTCAGTCAACCCACCCTCTCCCTGCACCTCCCAGAGCGTACTCCTCACCTTCCCGAATTCTCCTTGGGCTGCTGTCTCCTTACCATCTCCTCGACTGCTGCAGCTGCTACCACCAACATGCACACACACACGTGCACACACATGCACACACACGTGTACACACACGTGCACGCACACATACACACACATGCACACACGTACGTGCACACATGCACACACGTGCACACACACGTGCACACACACATGCACACACACGTGCATGCACACACACTGCTGTCGCCACTTGTGGGATTCTCTCTCTGCCTTTGTGGCAATATGGCTTCCCTCTTCCCTTCCACTGGAACCACTGTGGCCCAAGCCATGGTCACTTCTCTGTCCTCATCTTCTCTGACCTCTCAGTGGCCTTTGACCCAAGAGAACCCCCTTCCTTCTGGAAACACTCTCTCCTCTGGGCTTCCCTAACCTCTACTGCCCTGGTTCTCCCCTCTCCAACTCCTTCTCAGTCCCGTTGTCAGACATCTTTCCCTGACTTCAAAATGCTGGAACAGGAGGTTCTCGGGCTAAAAGTGCAGTTTCACCACATCGTCACCAACACTGCGTCTTATTTTTATTTTAAAAAATCTTTGCTAATCTGAAGGCAAAAAACTGTTTCGTTGTTTAAATTTCTATTTCTTTCCTGTAAGACGACTCGCTAGGGCCTTGTCGTAGGCCATGGTAAAAAGTTTGGGCTTTCTTCAAAACTCCAACAGAGGAGTAGCGTAATTCAATTTTCACCTTCACAACTCCCTCTGGCTGGCGAGAGGAGGCTGAAATGAAAGGAGACAAGGACAGCAGTGCCAGCAAGAGAGGACAGTCGCGTTGGCTGGGGAGGCAGTGCAGGGCTGAGAAACGGAGAGACCTGCATGGGCTGGTGGCAAGGGTGCTGGAATGAGGGGAGGGGGAATCAGGGATGACCCTTGGGTTTTCAACCTGAGTAACTGGAAGAGTAGTAACAGCTACCATTTACAGGGGATGGCCGTGCATCAGATGCTGCTGCACAGGTTATGCATGTTTTCATCCGCTTCTCCTTCACTCTGGGGAATAGGTGCTGTTGGCTTCCCATGCCATGGTCGGTTCTCTAAATACATGCCCAGTGTCAAGGTTGTTGTGTTTTTCGGCAGTCTGTCTATCAAGAAGGATGAAGAGGTGCTGAAGAAGAACTGCCTACATATCATCGTGGGGACTCCAGGCCGTATCCTAGCCCTGGCTCAAAATAAGAGCCTCAACCTCAAACACATTAAACACTTTATTTCGAATGAATGTGATAAGATGTTTGAACAGCTCAACATGTGTTGGGATGTCCAGGAAATTTTTTGCATGACTGCACAATGAGAAGCCAGTCATGATGTTCAGGGCTACCTGGAGCAAAGAGATCTGTCCAGTCTGCCACAAGTTCATGCGAGATCCAATGGAGATCTTTGTGGATAATGAGATGAAGTTGATGCTGCATGGGTTGCAGCAGTACTTCGTGAAACTGAAGTACAACCAGAAGAACTGGAAGCTCTTTGACCTTCTGAACGTCCTTGAGTTCAACCAGCTGAGGATCTTTGTGAAGTCTGTGCAGCAGCACATTGCTTTGGCCCAGCTACTGGTGGAGCAGAACTTCCCAGCCATTGCCATCCGCCGTGGGATGCCCCAGGGGCAGAGGCTTTATCAGTATCAGCAGTTTAAATATTTTCAGTGGTGAATTCTTGTGGCTACCAACCTACTTGGCCGAGGAATGGACATTGAGCAGGTGAACATTGCTTTTAATGAAGACATGCCTGAGGATTCTGACAGCTACCTGCATTGGGTGGCCAGAGCCGGCTGGTTTGGCACCAAGGGCTTGGCTATCACATTTGTGTCCGATGAGAATGATGCCAAGATCCTCAGTGACATGCAGGCTCACTTTGAGGTCAATCGCAGTGAGTTGACTGATGAGAGAGACATCTCCTCCTACTTTGAACGACATGGTAGAGGACTCCCCCACTGCAAAATGTGACCATCTGTCCTTCAGGAGAGGACACATCAGGGTAGGAGTAAAGGAGACACCAGTGGCCCCACCCCTGACAGCTCCCACCCCATGGCTTCCTTCTTTTGCCTCACCACCACCCCTGAACCCTCATTTCTGATTTGTCAGAAATTTTTTTATCAAAACTAAAGACAAAATATATACGTATATATATTATATATTATACTTATTTATTATATACTGTATAATATACATATATATTTACTCTACTCATATTACATACTGTAAATATACCATAGTTGAGGGCACTGAGCCCAGCAAGGCCATGCCAGAGCCAGAATTCCAACCCCGGCGGTCTGGCTCCAGAATCCACAATCCAGTAGCCACGCTCACGGCCTCTATTGAGAGAGTTGAGCACTTAGTGAGATGGAGAAGACTAGGGGTGGAGGGGGGTGGTCCCAGGGTGGGAGCCCCCAGGGTTGGCGCCCAGGCATCTGCATTCTTCAGCCTCCCAGTGGCCTGACCATAGGCAGGCTGTGCATAATACTCCTACTATTGAAGCCTTCCAGAAACATGCAAAGAAGCAGGGGAACAGAGGAGGAAGACCTGAGCTGGTTTTAGGAAGCTTCTTCAAGGGCAGGAGGGTCTTAAACTGAGACGGGGCGCTCTGTCTACAAGGAGATGCAGATTTAACACTCACTTTGTCTAACCCTTTCCTCCTCCACACGCCTTCCTTTCCCACTCACGCACCTGACCCTTGCCTCTTTGAGACAGATTTACTTTATTAATTAAAAAATAACTATGCTGTTTAAAATTTTTTTGACGGAGCCTCACTCTGTCGCCCAGGCTGGAGTGCAGTAGTGTGATCTCAGCTCACTGTAACCTCTGCCTCCCAGGTTCAAGTGATTCTCCTACCTCAACCTCCCGAGTAGCTGAGATGACAGGCGTAAAAAATAACTGTTTTCTTAATTATAAAAGTAGATATTTGTAGACATTTGAGAAACACTGAAATGTAGGAAAAAATTCAAATAACCCATAGGTCACCCAGAGAGTTGCCACTGACATTTCTGTGTTTATTTTAGATAGAAAAACATCATTTTTTTCAACCAGAATCATAATATACATTGAGTTTGTGTCCTGATTTTTTTCACTTAAGATACAATGTAAACATCTTCTTGTGTTGTTCAATATTCTTCTAAACCAACAATTCCCATAACTACATGGCAGCCCTTGTCTGTGGGCGCCATCATTTAACCAACCCTCTCGCGGTGAATATTTCTGTTGTTTCCAGGGTTTTGTCTCTATAACTAAGCCCGTAATGAATTCCGTGTGTATGTAAACTGCTGCATGCATCTGATTATCTCCTGGAGTGGCCTTGCTCATCCTGAGTTTTGTAAGGTGTTTGATGCACGTCCCTTGCCAAAGCCCTCATCCCAGCCCCTGTCACCTCTCACCTTTCCTGCTGCCATAGGCGCCTACCTGTCCTTCCTGCTTACTCTATTAACTGCCCCTGGCAAGCCATAGCAAGAGGATTGCTTGAGCTCAGGAAGTTCAAGACTAGCCTGAGCAACATGGCAAAACCCTGTCTCTACAAAAAGTACAAAAACTAGCCAAGCATGGTGGCACACACCTATTGTCCCAGCTACTTGGGAAGCTGAGGTAGGAGGATCGCTTGAGCACAGAAGGCAGAGGTTGCAGTGAGCTGAGATTGCACCACTACATTCCTGGGCGACAGAGTGAGACTCTGTCTCAAAAAAGAAATGGTGGGGGTCAGGTGAGAGCATTAGGGAAAAGAGCTAATGCATGCTGGGCTTAATACCTAAGTGATGGGTTGATAGGTGCAGCAAACCACCACGGCACACGTTTACCTATGCAATGAACCTGCACATCCTGCACATGTACTCTGGAACTTAAAAAAATAATTTTTTAAAAAGATGAAAAGATTCTAGAGATCTACTGTACAACATTGTGCATGTTAACAATACTATACTGTATACTTAATATTTTTAAAGAGGGTAGATCTCATGTTATATGTTTTTAAAATAACAGTAAATAATAATTTTACAAAACGGCGGCAGTTTAAAAAAAATTTAAAAAAAAGCAGTAAGGGCAGACTGTGTGTCCTGCCTCTGCCGAAAACCTAGGAGGGCCCCCAGCACCCCAGGCGGGTCAGCATTTGCAATGCATCGCCCACCCGCCAATTTCTCCTGCTGCTTCCCGCCATGCTCCCCTCACCCACTCTGCCTCTCTGGCCTCTTCTCAGCTCACCAAAAATCTCTGCCACTGCAGGACCCTTGCACATGCTGTTACATCTGCCAGTGCCATCTTGTTCTCTTCCTGTGGCTTGTTTCCTCTCTAGCATTTGTGACTCAGCTCAAAGCCACCTTCTTGGAAAAGCCTTCACTGACCTCCCTTCACTCACCCTCTCCCCTCAGCTCTGTGTGTGTGTGTGTGTTTAAGGCTTTTTTTTTTTTTTTTTTTTGAGATGGAGTCTTGCTCTGTCGCCCAGCCTGGAGTGCAGTGGCATAACCTCTACCTCCCGGGTTCAAGCAATTTTCCTGCCTCAACCTCCTGAGTGGCTGGGACTACAGGTGTGCACCACCAGGCCCAGCTAATTTTTGTATTTGTAATAGAGACAGAGTTTTGTCACATTGGCCAGGCTGGTCTCGAACTCCTGACATCAGACGATCTGCCTGCCTTGACCTCCCAAAGCGCTGGGATTACAGGCGTGAGCCCCCACACCCGGATCCTTTCTAACGCTCTTTACATTTTGTAAATATTTAGTTGCATTTTGATGTGTTCATTTCAAGTTTCCCCTGATAAATGGCACTCTCTGTGGGGGCAAGGACTTAGTTTCAGTCAATGCTATCCTCCCAGGTTCTAACCTAGTGCTTGTCAAAAAGTAGGTTCTCGGAACATATCATCCAATTGTCTTCCAAAAAGCTTGCACTCACCTCCCCTTCTGCCAGCAATGCATGAGAATGCAGTTTCACTAAATCCTCACCAGCACCAGGCATGATGCTTTAAAAACAATGTTTGCTAATCTGATGGCAAAAATACTAGTTGATTATTGAGATTTGCATTATTTTGACTGTTAGTGAGGTTGAACATTTTGAATGTTTACCAGTCTTCTTTTGTGATCAATAATAAAAAGGCCTGTTCGTGACCTCATCCATAAAGCTGTTCCAGAAAAGGGCCTCAGCTTCTGAACTCTTCTAGAAGTCAGCATTTATTCCTGAAGTCTAACCTCAATCCTTCCTGCTGTTGTTTCCTTTTTTCGCTTCCTCTTAATGAGCTCCTTGTGGGGCTGGCGAGAAAGCATATAAGTGCCCTGTCACTGGGCATCCCTTTCCTGCCTCTTCTGCCCAGTGTTGGGGAGCAAAGCATGCATGTGTCCCCCTCCCTATGCCCCCAAGCTCTGAGCGGCAAATTAAATGATTCGATTCGAGAAGACAGGCTGCTCTGGTGAGATGCAATCATCTCTGACTAAAATCTCTTTCTCAGATATATAATGGTCTAATCAATATTAATAGAGAGGCTTATCTGTTTTCCTCATCTCCCATGTCCTTAAGAGTAGATAAAATGCTTGTTAGATAGGGTCCTATTCAGCATATACTGATTGCTTCCAAAACGCGTTTTCTCAAGATCTGTCATCAAGTGAGAGTCATTACTGAGCAGCTAGGCCCAGCACCACCGTTGACAAATTTGGGGAAGATTCTTTGATTATTTGGCCCAACATGTGATTTAAGGGCTGCAACTTCTTTGGCTTCCAAATTTGTTCTTGTCTGTCCTACAGGGGGATCTTGGAAGCTGGTGGAGTTTTAGATAAATGCCGGTTGAGAGGAGGGGAGGCTGAGGGGTAGGCTTTGGAACTGATGTGCCATCTTGCCTTCTTGAGAGGAGACCACAGAGCCTTGGGAGGTGAGTAAGTGCGCTGTCCCTGGCGGTAAGGAAGGAGCAGTGAGCAGACACCCCTGGCATCCCATATCGGAGGCCCATCTCCACGGGGAGGAGAAGCCAGAAGAGGACAGGGAAGCTTCAGAATGTGGGCGGCTGGGAAGGTCAGCTGGGCCCTAGGCAGGGATATGTTGAGAGCAGAGGCCTGGACTTGGCATCCCAAGGCACGTGTCATGATCGGCTTTGCCACTAACTAACTGTGTGAGCCTGGGTAAGTCACCCAGACTCTTTGAGCCATTTTGTTTTCCTAATCTAGGAAGAGCCCAGTGCCTTCCAGACTCAAGTTCTTATCCCCCATCCACCCCAATTTTCATAACGGTGCAACCCAGCAAGTGGTTCACACAGTGTGCATAAAAATCATCAGGGTAACAAAACAGAAAATTTGAACCAACTTTAAAATCCACAAATGACTAAGCAAGCTGCAAACATGTGGCAGACCACTGGGTCAGACCCAGTGTATCACATATGACATGCATAACATGTAATCCAGTGCAACCATTTACATGGAGGTCTATATGTACTGACACAAAAAGTCTACCAAGTCATATTGCTGGGTGAAAAAGCAAGTTGCAGAATGACTCATACACTGTGAGGGGTGGGGAGAAACAGAACACGGTGCATGCATGTCTGCAAATGCTTAAAGAAAGTCCGAAAGGATGTAAAAAGCTGATAACAGTGGTTACTTCTGAGTTACCCCCTGCAGGGAGGGGTATATGATCAAGATGGGCAGAGAGAGTCAAGGGGATTTTTAGCATTCTCTGTAATCATTTGAATTTTTGAAAGGGGAAAGTCATTCATCCATTTATTGTATAAATAATAATTGTTAATAAAGACACTTAGGTCAATTGAATTTCCACATGGAAAGAAGTTTATCTTCATCCCCTATTCCACATTATCACAACCACAAAAAATCCCAGATGGATCACAGACCTAAGTGTCAAAGTCCTAATAATGAAGCTTTTACAAGGAAACATAGAATATTTTCAAGAGATGGTGGTAGGAAAAAAAAATTTGAACAGTACATAAAAGGCATTCACTAGAAAGAAAAAAAGCCAATGGGTTAGATTATGTTAAAATTAAGAAATCTTCAAAGAGAAGGTTCCTGCTCCCAGTGTAAAGCTGATGGCCAACTGGCAACCATGGGAGGAGAGCCAGAGTTGGAAAAAATCATCGTTCTGGAACGATCGCAGTAAAGATCGGTTCAGGCAAGAATCATCAGTGGATGCTAAATCCAGAGGACGTTTTGCTGAGAAGCAGAATATTT